GCAGGAGGGTTTTGTTTTGTTGTGTTTGTGTCAGTCTGTTCTCACGGCATGGCTGTGCGATGTGGCGACACCTGCTCTCCTAGCATTGTGTCCGTTGGGTGAGGTTAAGGAAAACTCGGACATCCATAATACGGTCAGTCACGTTCCTATGAAGTCCTGGGACGTGACGAGGTGTTGACGTGCCTTATGAATCAGGAGCAAGGAAGGAAGGAACAAAGGAAGGAAGGAGTCGTTTGAAAGTTTAAATTTTAAACATACCTTATTGTATCCAATTGTTTAACGCCTAGTGATTCGTGACTAGCATATATGATAACTTTCTATACATGTTTTATAATTAACTTCGTTATTCACTACTTCCTGGCATAGTAATGAGAGCAAAGTAGATATGCAAAATTCTCCCGTAATATAACCTAATTTTACCAGGAAGTTTAATCAAGTATGACAGCTCATTCACATAACCTGAGGCGGCCTTGGTTGTGTAAAGGGACTTTTGTGTATAATTTCACCCCCTAGTTGGTTTTCCAAAATAAATGATAAAAAAGAAAAGCCGAAGATAGTGTGAACAGGGCTGTTATATAAAAGGTAAATAGTACTCGTGTGTTTTAACGTGTTTTTTTAAACATCATCATAGGCGGTTAAAGTTAGGCACTTTGTATCAGTTTTCGAAATAATCACTTCCCTGTTGTCCAGAGAAGCAAGAATACAAATCAAACAAATGAGAAAGGATGCTAAACTAGCAATTACAGCGGACTGATGGGCTAAGCTGGCAAGAGCGGGCCCCACTTTAGCTACAAACACACGGAAATTTTGAGGACATGGTGAAATTTGAAGGAAAGAGAAGGAAATCCCCAGGTGCCAACAAATGAAGAGAGAAATTAGAGAGAGCCTCGGTGAGGAGCAGCGCCGGTATCCTGGCGTCCCTGAGGGTCCCTGTGCTGGATATACCAGTGTGTGTGAGAGTGGAAGTCAAGGACGTAACCTAAAGACTAGTCCAGGGTCCTCGAACCCCCTAGACCCCTGGAAGACGCAAATTGAAAACCTTCGTGCAAGGGACACTTATGCAGCCATACACCTCAGGACCCAGGGACTCACACCAAAAGCACAGCCCTGCTTGTTGTGTTGTTGGGTGCCGTCAAGTCAATTTTGACTCATGGCAACCTCATGTGACAGAGTAGAACTGCCCCATAGGGTTCCTTAGGCTGTAATTTTTACAGGAGCAGATCACCAGGTCTTTCTCTCACGGAGCTATTGGGTGAGTTCGAACTGCCAACCTTTTAGTTAACAGCTGAGCGCTTAACCATTGTGCCACCAGAGCTCCTTCATCCCTGCTTACCTGTCCACAACCAGTGAACCTCCAGGAAGGGTTATCTGAAAGAGATTATAAAATCAATATAAGTATGTTCGAAATGACAAATAAAAACAAATTGTTTTATTCTATCAAATAATAGACTTTTTCTATTTCTTCAGGAAACACTTTTGTGCCTGTTATAACAAAATATTCTGTGATTCTTTTTTTATGCATTCCCCAAAATTATTAAATAGGTAGGGTCTTTTTTAATAAATAGGCAGATTTGGAAAGAAAAAAAAAAAACCTGTAATGGGAGACATAGTTACTGTGATTAAAAACTCAGTAGATGAATTAAACTTCAGAATAGACACAGCCGATGAGAGAATCCATGAAGAAATCACCTGGAAGGAGGCAAATAGAAGATATGAGAGGTTAAGAGACTTAGAGGAGAGAGTGAGAAAGTTTACTAAATGTAACAGGAGTTCCAGAATGAGAAGAGGAGAAGCAATATTTGAAGAGATAGTGACTTGGAACTTTCTAGATTTGAAGAAAGAGTGACTTTTCAGATTTAAAAAGCACAGTGAATCTGAAGAAGGTTAGGTAAAAACAAACCCACTCGGGCACATCATGATGAAAGTAGAGAACATCAATGACAGAGAAAAAGCTTAAAAGTAACCAGAAAGAAAAGAAAGATCGTTTGCAAAGGAGTGAATAACAATTACACAGAGAGCAGACTTCTTATCAGCAACCACAGACAGCTGAAGACAGTGAGAGGCCTTCAAAGTGCAGGAGGGAAATGACAGTCAGCCAAGAATTCTATACCCAGCTGAATTATCACTGAAGAACGAAGGTGGCGTGAATACGTCTTCTGACAGAGACTAACAGCTTGGCACTTCAGACCCCCACAGAGGGTAGCTATAAGGGCTGCATTTCAATGAGGAGAAAGTTCACCCCAGAGGGAAAAGCAGGGTGCAGGAAGCAAGGAGGAGTAAGGAAATTGGTGGACATGTTGGCATGTCTAAAAAGGCGTCAACTGTAAGAATAAATAATAACAATAATCACCGACTTGAGGGGTTACCATGCGGGAGGAATTCAGGCCCCCTGCGGGCCTGCCTTAATCCCAGGGGTGTGCAGAGAGCGATGAACTCGAGACTCTGCACAGGGTGCCTGCAAAAAAAGTAAGGCACCATTAAGGGTTAAAAATAAGCGGTATGATTTTCGAATCAGCAGACCACAGAGGAAAGGGAATAATGAAAACTGATGAATCCCGTAGAAGACCAGAAAAAAACGACGCAAAGTCAGAATGCGAAATTCATTCGTTTTACCATAAACGTGCTTGACTCGCAGGCAATGGATTTAAATAGAATTGGGCCAGGAAGAGGGGTGGTGTGGTCAGGAACTTTATATTGATAAACACAAACGGCCTTATGATAGAAGAAAATCGCCCCATGTCTGTCGCGGTCCTAGTTAGCATTTCACAGGAACAGCCTGTTTGCTCTGAGAGTCAAACCCAAAGCTGCCAGGCCCTTTGCAAGAAGCCCATTCTCTTCTGTAGACTGAAATCAAAAGACAGCAATGAAGCCGGTTCTCGTTCCTTTAATTATGCGTCAGGCTGATCATGAAGATTCGGAAAGAACTTTGTTGGGCTTTGGGAATGCTGCGTCTCCACCATGGGCGTCGCAAAACTAAGGATGGTGTTTTCTTTCCAGGCCGAGCATCGGACCATGACGGCCTTCATCCTGGCTGTGATTGTCAACAGCTATAACACGGGGCAGGTGAGTGGAGCGGCCGCCCTCAGGCACCCCGGCCATTCCTGTGACATCACAAGCACATTTCAGGGGGGAGGGGGTGTAGCTCCAAGCTACCGTGCTTGGAGATCAGAAGGAACCTTTGTTCTGAATGTCTTGTGAAACAGAACAGAAAGTGGGGATCACCAGGGCACCCCAGCACTTGATGATGCCAAGGACAGGGTGTGCTCAGTGGCAGTCCGGACCCTCACTTAGCCAGGAATTTGCGGGGTGGATTTGTTGTTGACTTTGTTCTTGGTGTTGATTTGTGACTTAGGAGGCCCCATGTGTTACAGAGCAGAACTGCTCCATAGGGTTTTCTTGGCTGTAATCTTTACGGAAGCAGATTGCCAGGCCTTTCTTGCTCAGTGCCTCTGGGTGGGTTCGAACCACCAACCTTTGGGTTACCAGCCAAGTGCAAACCGTTTGCACCACCCAGGTCCTTTGCGGGAAGATCT